TTTTTGTTGTTGTTGTTGTTGTTGTTTTATTTTTTTTGTTCTTTTTAAAGCTGCCTTCTCCTCATCAAGGGGACATCCATATATTTTTCTCTCAGCTCACATATCTTTTTAACTGGCGTTCTGCCATATGTCATCATGGACCATATCTTTCTGTTTTCAGAACCTACCTACCACTACTCCTAAGGCTATACAGGGGACCCCCCCCTGCAAGCATAGCTTTCTACCTCTCTTCGGTGAAGGGAGGAGGTTGCCTCTCTCTCCGTGGAGAGAGGTAACGGCATGTTTGCCCCTTTGCCCCCCTAGCGTTTTAGGGTGCAGGCTTGGGGCCGCCGGTGGGGGCCCCGCTAACACAAGGACCCAGCATTTGCCACTGTCAGTAACTGTGCCTCCCTTTTCTTTCTTTCTTTTCTTTTTTTCTTTTTTCTTTTTTTTTAACTCTGCCTCCCTTTTCATCTTCCCCGACCCCCATCGAGTAACAGCAGTGTCTACAGCCAACACTCTCCCACACACCACACACAACCCACTCACACACGCACTGTTGAAGAGGCAGGCAGGTGATCTTGCAAATGGGATGCAGAAATAAGCCAGGGCTGTCTTGGAGGATCAGGCGCCCTATTGTTGGGTGAAGAGGTAGTTCTGCTAGCCCCCCTTTTTTCTTTCTTCAATTCCTTAAATATTTGTTGTATCCAAGGGGACGCTGGACCCGATTTCCAGCAGGTGTAGCTCCCCACCAATACATCGGAGCAACCAGAACCGTTACTAGGGGAGGCTGCTCTCACACACGCACTCGCACCCGTGTAACAGGCTGAGGACCTTACAAATACGGACTGCCAGTGGGAGGATCCAGCTGACTATCTCAGTTGGTTGGCACCAAAAGTGCTACAGGCGCCCACGGGGATCCAGCCACTTGCGTGCCTGACCAATTGAGCTAGGCCGCTGGATGAGATTTGAACTTTTTTTGAACACTTCTTTGCACGAGATAAGAAAAAAAGAAAAGGAAACAAAAAAAGAAGTCAAGAAATCAATCATTTTCCAGGCTACCAGAGTGGCCCGGGGTCACTTGCCCGGCCGGGCAAAAATAAAATACAAAAAATAAAAGAAAAATATATTTTTAAAGTTTATTTTGTATTCTAAATCTGGTGAAGAATTTCGATGTGACCCTGAGGCAAAAGTTGTTCAGTTTATTTTTCTGCGTAACATAGTGTTTTTTCGGATTTTTTGGAATTGTTTATTTTATTTTTTTTGGCTGAGACCTTCCCTGGTCCTTGCACGGGCTGGCCACCCAGGACCCGGGCGGCCCGGCTGGTAGCCTAGATCATTTTTGTTTTTTTTTCCCCCCAAGATTACCTTTGCCGAGTGGGAAAATAGCGGGCCTCGGGTGGGCCTCCGACCTTTTCGGATGGCTGAAACGAAACGACGCCCGCCGATCAGATTTATCAATGGCAGCCGTCGTCCGGCCCGGCCTCCGAATTTTCAGGAGTTTGGGAAAACGTCCACTTTTCCCTAATTTCCCAACACTGGAGGAGGTACTAGTGCTTCTCTCAAGAAAAATTTCGCCTTTCACTACCTTCCTACCACTACTCCTAAGACTATTAATCATTTTTCATTATACTGAGGATATATCTTGTCGTCTGATATCATTGTCTTTTAGGTCTTTTATGAGTTTTTTCTTGTTTCCTCTCTTTTTTTGCTCTCAGAAAAGACGCTGGTCTGAAAAAAAAAAAAAAAAAAAAAAAAAAAAAAAGAGGACTCCGGTGGCACAATAACCCACCCTATGTGCATGAATGGCACACAAATGTATTAAATCAATTTAAATGCTATTAAATAAACACAGCTTGAGTTGCAATCCTGATAGAATCAGGGGTGAGGCCCCAGTAGCACAGATGATTGGATTATTATAATGTAAAAGGACGGCCCTGGACACATTTTCCAGCAGGTGCAGCTCCCCACCAATAGATGGAGTGACCTAAGCAGGTATACTAGCTAGGGATGCTCGTATCACCCTGGCAAGTATTATCTGTAGCCTCTTTATTGGGAAAAAACAAAAAAAATGCAAAGATGATTGGATTCAATGCCTGAATCTGGACATGTTTCAGGGAAGATGCAGGAAACCGTGATTTATCTCCTTCTCTGCATCTCCCCTTGGAACCATCCAGATTCAGGTTCTTAATCCGATCCAGTTTGCTAGAGGGACCTCACCCCAGATGTATGAGGGCCTAGTTCCACACCACTTGGAAATACTTGAGTTTCAAGTGCACACTAA